TGTGTAACAAATATAGTGCTTTTTGTGAATGGACAAGGGGAGAGGAGGGGGCTGGTACAGAAGAAGTGCAGTGCGTAATATCCAGCTCCAATGAACTGTAAAGTAACCAGCAGCCATCCAATCATTAGATACTCATCATTAGAAGTAGCTTATATGAGTTGTGCTCTTCCCCAAAATAAATGTATTTCTGGAGTTTTGCTTTAACCTACCAGCCTATTTCTATAACCAAAACATTCATATTGGGTGCAATGTCTTTTTAAAGAGACTGTAAAATACATATGGAGATAGCAATTGCTGACCTCTCTTTCTGAGAATGCCCATTACCTAGATGTCATGTTGTCAATGGTTTCAATACTGGTACAAGTGTTAAAACAAGTATGTTCCAGGTCAGAAAAAGGCCATGCAACTAGCATTTTCAAAAGGAAGTCAGTAATGGCCTATAAATTTCTCTTTACACATAGGTACAGTATGGCAGTGTAAATAGCCGTAACTTATAGCAACCAATCAGAAATAATCCCTTAACTGATCTGACAACAGTAAAGTGAAATCTTATTGGCTGCTATGCGTTCCTGCCCTCTACCATTGTATTTGGTACAGTCTTATTGAAAACACCTATACAAGTACTCTTCCAATAAACCAATATTGATCATTGTTTTCACTAAGCACAGTGAACACTTAGACCTGACATACAAGACAAGTAATACATATTAATTACAAATGTATTTCGTTGTCCTGGTTTATAATCTCTCAGCTGTCAAAGATAGTAATACTTTCAAACTATTGGCAGGATTGCAGGCTCTAGAGAGCTCAGTCCAATCAGTATTGCACATATTTTTAACGGAATGCCCTGTTTTCTAATAGTAACCTGCCACGGGCTAACTGCAGAAATAAACAAGTGTCCCAATAGGAAGGTTAGTTTTATTATATCCACCACTCGCACACAGCATTTACCCAACAGCAATAAATATGTTTCATTATAATCCTTTAACACTCACTTCATGCCACACTCAACACTGTAGTGTACAGAAGAAAAAAAAAGTTTCCCTTATGTATACTGTAGATTGGGGTTAGGCAAACTTTGGTCCTCCAGCTGTGGTGCAACTACAAATCCCATGAGCCACAGGCATGACTCCCTCTAGTAGGTGCATGATGGGTTTTGAAATTTCACTACAGCTAGAGGGCCGGAATTTGCATACCCTTGGTCTAAAGGTGCCCATACACTGCACGATTATCGTACGATAATCGTATGCGATCGGTTTTTCGTACGATAATCGAGCAGTGTGAACGGAGACGTGCGACCGTTTCTACTGTACGGTCGCACGTCTTCTGTCGAACCAGCATGTTCGAAAACCAGCCGGGAATCGTACGATTCTCGGCTGGTTAGAACGGTGCTCGGAAGACAAATGCCGAACGGGCCGGTGTGCGCACGCGCACACTGCCCGTTCAGCATTGCGGTCATCGGAAGCCCGCCCCTCAGGGGGGCGGGCTTGCGATGATCGAGAGTGCGATCTGCCTGTCCAAGATAGGCAGATCGTACGTTTTTTTAATCCCTGTACAACCATCGCAAGACTAAAGTCTTGCGATGGTTGTAGAGTGTATGGCCACCTTAAAGGATTGTACAAAATGTGCATTTCAACAATTAGCGTTTACAGCGCAAGACTAGTTTTCCTGTGAATGTATTTTGTGTAAAGTAAGGCCAGGCTGGTGCTGTTAGCTCCTAATGCAGCGCATCCTAATGCCCCAAGCATGGGCTCTGATGAAGGGCCTCAGAGCACGTGGGGTAAACATTTCTAAAGGTGGTCATGAATCTAGAGGGCAATTGGACTAACAGATGCGAACATAACCATGTTTATTCATATATGTTTCTGTCATTATAGAGAGGAGGAACAGAAAGGAGAAAGCGATATACTGCCAACATCTGCTAATTGGAATACCAGCTATAGGCCTCCATAGAAATGGCATGGGTGGATTCCCTGAGGAAAAGCCTGCCTAGCTGCTCCTTCATCCCCCAAAAGCACTCAGTCTACAATGACTATTGGCCTCCATAGATGGATGGATTTCCCGAGACAAAGCTTTGTTTTCACACCACATGTCTTCCATGGTGCTTGTGTTGGGTTCTCAAACTATTTCTATTTAAATAGCTATAAGAATTTCAGCTAATAAACCAGTTCTAATGTACATCAATAGGTGATGTCAGCCAGGAGTTTTAAACCGATTGTCAGACTATAAATTACAGCACTAAACACACAAGCTAAGCTGAGGCTACCTTAGCCTGCCACCTCCATTTACATGCCACACTCAACATTGTAGTATACAGAAAAAAGGAATCCTGTATGTATATCTCTAGTGGATTGTACAAAATGTTTGTTTCAACAATTATTCATATATGGTTATGTCAATAGAGAGAGGAGGAAGGACAAGACAAGATGCTGCCAACATCTCCTTATTGGAAAAAGAGCAGTCAGCTTGCTTTTCTACCCTGCCTAACTACTCATTCATCCCCAAAAGCACTTGGTCTACAATTACTATGGGACTCAGTCTACAATGTAGAAAATCACTTATCTGTCAGGTATAGCCAGCCAAAGCTGCATGTACCATAAGCCATAAGGTCTCGGTGAACAAGGGAAGGGGGTAGGTAGAGGTCAAGATTTCCAGAGCAATTACAAGACAAATAACGCACAACCAAGCCACTGTTCAGTCTAGTAGGAGTGGTGCACATCAGGTATGCGCCATCACTCCTACAACAACACTTCAGGAGTTCTGAGTATTATAAAAAGCATTTGAGTCTATTTCAAAAGAATGCACCATTTGCATTGATAGAAAGAATGAACTCGACTTTTAATAGCACTCTTACTGACCCGATTACAACCATCATTTTGTTACAAAAAAGGTAGTGCGTAATCCTCTCATATGAAATCATCAAATGGTAAGCAGCTAACAGATTCTCAGCTGCTCATTAGCTTTCACACTCCTCATTCTCTTCCAGAACTTGGTCATTCTTCAGCAGCTAAAAAACAAGAGGTCTCTGACCTTTGTGAATCATAAAAAAAGTCACTCAGTATAAAAAAAACTAAACACCTCACACACAAATATTACCACCTATGTAATATAATAGACAGGATTGAAGCAAGTATTTTGATTTCAGTAAAAGTAGCTACACACTCATCTCTTCCATATATACATACTGTATATGCATTGTTGTATAAAAAGTAGTGTCTACGAGCAATGTCTGCCACATAGTCAGTGCAGGACTGAAACAGCCATCCTCATTTATCCTGATGATGCTGCCTCAATGAAGATACATAGTTACATAGTAATTTAGGTTGAAAAAAAGACAAGCCCATTGAGTTCAACCTGAAATATCCAAATTCAAAGGCATAATAGTGCAGAACAATCCTGCTTCACTGTTTTTAGGATCAGGCAGTCTTTTATAATATGCAGTGATAAGTGCAGTAGAAAGATATTGGCATACCCTGATCAGAGCTAGGTAAGATATTGTAGTGCTGTAGACAAGACCTAGTGGCCTGAACACAATGTGCCCAAGAACAGGTCCCCTAGGCCTGTTATATATGCATATGGCTGTCCTTATTTAATAGCACAAAACGTGCTATGATATACAGAATTTAAATAGAAACGTATAACAGTCACTTGGTTGCCAGTTTTTACAAGGTTTTGTGTAATATTAAAAGCTCATTTCTTATTGGTTGTTTGATATCAGTGTTTCTGAACCCTTTTTTTAAAAGATACTTTAAAAGTATCTTGAAGAACCCTAGCCGATCACCAGCACCCTAGCAACGAATGATGCTGTCTGCAGGCCTGCTTGCACCATGGAAATGAGTGACGTTGTGCATCGAATACAGGAAAAACTGTGTTTGTGCAGGACATGGAGCCCTTGACAAACCCAAATGGCAGCCCTGCTGAGAAGGGCTGTTTTATATCAAATCAGTGCTTTGGAATCGCCATTAAATAAAGCCCAAAATACGCTGATGGACAGCCAACACTATAAATCAACACCCTATCCAACACATTATTCAGCACAGTCCACACATTGCCAACAACTATCAGGGTGTGTTTAGGTTTTTTGCTACCGTAGGCAGACATTTTGCGTAACCTGTCAGTCGCTGGATACAGCTTGCACGCTGACAGGTTGCATTAGGAGCACCCACCATAGCCCCCGCATAGCCCATCTGAGACTTTGTATAGCCCACCACAGACCCAACACAGCCCACTATAGACCCCGCATAGCCCACCTGAAACCCCACAGAGCCCACCAAAGTCCCCACACAGTCCACCATAGACCCTGCACAGCCCACTACAGACCCTGCACAGCCCACCTGGGGCTCTCAGGTGAGCTGTGCAAGATCTATGGTGGGCTGTGAAGGGTCTCTTTTCCTGCACACATTGATGCTCCTCTTAACTGAAGCCTCCCAGCCTGCCTCTGGGCCATCCCACCATCAGATGGTGGGGTATGGGCAGCCCTGAGCCGCCCACAGCTTCGCTGGCCATGCCGCATTACACTTGGCCATGGCCCAGCCCCGCCTCAGGTCCTGCCTTGGCCCCTCCTCCATCCCCACTTCCTCCACCCAGCAGCTCTCTCAGGTAAATTAGGCAGATGCTCGTTGGGTCTTGTGGCCACCTAATGTGCCTGATTAAGCAGCCAAGGCTGCCTGATGCTGTGCGGTCCGCCGCACATAAAGTGCCGCCCAAGGCAAATGCCTTGTTTACCTTGGGGTGGATATGCTCCTGGGTGCTACAACAAGGCAGAGACTCTGCTATGCTTTAAAAACAGACTATGACAATGACTGAATGCTAAGTCAGCATTGTTGCTTATGGTAGCACGTATATTCATATGGCTATTCCGATATCTCCTTATAACATCATTGCAGTTCGTTTTTTTTGTCTGTCAAGCATGACAGAAATTAATTAATCAGTTATGAATCCTTATGGACAGGTTAGAAACTGTCATTATGATTGTTCAGGTACAAGTGCCATTGTAGTCTTTAAAATGCTGACACGGTGAGTGACTTGATGTCAGTGGTATAGGTGCCCATGCTGGCATACATCTTTTTCTGTGAACGCAGGAGAGGGGTCTGTGTGTCCACATCCCGACAGCCTCTTTGTTTTAACCTCCGCAGCATGTGCTGTGTCCATCCATATGCCAAGCAGTTAAAAAAACCAGGAGAGACTGCTGTAATAGCCTATAAAAAAATAAATAGCACTTTAACATAAGGAAACAAATATTGTAATAATATCAAACAGTCTTCTCATATGAAACAGAAAATGAGAACATCAAATGGTAAAACAGCCACATGCTATTGCCAAGTTTCTGGTAATTGTGCAGTTTGTTCAGCAAAAGATTTCTAATTAGATTTTAGCAATAGGGTTGTTTCAAGGTTGTCTTTACATTATACTATCCATGACTAGCTGCAGCAAAGTGAAGTCACAGTTAAAAATATACATTCTGCTCAAACATGTATCTCTTCTTCAGGACACTAATATGACTGACATTCTAGATTGTAGATTGATTGATACATATAATGCCCCCCTCCGCCCATGCCCTCACTTTGCCACCACTTTTTCATGACAGATTGACAAATTCAGTCTTGTCACCTTCTGCCGAAACCTCACTCACCCCTTTAGCCTATAAGAATGCTGGCTTCTGACTTACCGGTACTGGCTTTCAAGTAAAACATTTGCTTTGCCAATTCAAGGCAAAAAAAAACAGATTCACTTTGATGTGCCTCTCCCCAGCAACACATGACTTTTCTTTGCTCCCCCACCCCTTGGTAGAGGGGCATAATGGGCAACTGGTCCCTTTTCCTTAAGTGGGCATGCTTTCAGTTAGAAGCCAGTGCTCACTGTAGTTCAAAAAGCAGACTGGAGACAAGAGGGAACACTTCAGGAGCACTTCAGGAGCACAGCCCCTGCAACTAAAAAATAAGCTAGCACACCAAATAGTGAGAGGTATCAAATAAGTGTATTATAGCATCATACAGCAAAATTTAATAAATGCATGTAAACTACAGATATACTACACATGAATCACTAACTAAATATACTGGCAAATGATACTAGTCTCAAGAGGGAGCGGGGAGACACCCGGTACAGAAAGACAATACTATAAAGTGAAAAACCTGAGGTGGAATTTGACTTGAGAAAGAGGTGCAAACTTAAATGTGGTCTCTGTTTTCACCTCCACCTGTACCGTGTGGCCGCTTCTGATTATAGAGATATGCATAGAAGATATACATGTATTTTTTTTATTTTGCTATGTGATGGTATAATACAGCATTTCTCATCCTTTTTTCAGTCACGACACCCTTTAAAAGTATGCAAAATCCAGGCACCCAGTCTAAAATGTAAAAACGTAATTGTAAATAATAATGTGTGGTCCCCCCCAAAAAAAAAATAATCTATACAAGAACCTTATCCTAGATAGTGGTCTGGTATGAGTTTTATTGGGGTGCAAAACAAAAAAAATGATGTGAAGTCTCACCTTTCACATCAGGAGACCCCTTTACATCAGAGTTCCCCTAATCATCATCACTACTTGACTCTGGCAATATAGCAGGGGACAGGAGGTGGAGCAGGTGTGGAAAGAGATGGATTTCTGTCTTCTGAATGCTGCGGGCGTCCTGGATGCAGCCCTATCTGGATTAGTGTCATACATTTCCACGGTGCTGGTGGCCAGCTCACCTGCACTATGGGAATGCATGACACTATGCACACATTTGAAGGCACCCCTGACAAAGCCAGAAGGCACCCTGGTTGAGACCTGGTGTTATAATACTCATCTCACTGTTTGGTGTGCTAGCTTAATTTTTAGATGCTATATAGTTTTCTTTGAGAAAGTCTCATGATATAGTTATAACAACCATTTGCTACTGTTTCATACATCTATGTCAGGGTTTATTTAGGGTGTGCAGGCCTTTTTGTATGTATCTGTTAGTACACAGTCCTTGCACATTTCTGGTAACAGAACAATGGCTCATCCAGCTGAATACAAGACACTATTTTTGTACATCTGTATTTGTGGCTTTGGTTAATGTTTTATGTTTTAGAATGAACCGTCCTTTAAACTTCTTAATCCGTACATGAAATCGTGGCATTGTACCAGGCTGACCGCACAAGAGGCTGCCTATGACTCACCACAGGACTTGTCACTGTAATGAAATGAACTTTTAATGGGAAACGTCTTTCCTTTGCCATTTTAATCATCTCATTCTGTTTAGCTAAAGTTTGGTTTTGGAATGTTAACAGACAACAGTTCTAAGAAAAAATGGAAACATTTTGCTGAATGCAAGTTCATGTACAAAGCACTGTCATTCCTTCAAACCACTCAAATAGCATTGTAATATGTTGAATAAGAGAGAATATTCTCTACATTAGTATCTGCTGGTGACTTTACTCTATGCTGTTAAAGCAAATCTTCACAGAGAGAAATGCAATTGCTGATCCCCTTTTGAAAATGCTAATTGCCTGGTTGTCATTGGCATCAGTAAAGTCAAACTCAAGTCATAAATGATGATCTGCATACTTGTTCCACGCCAGTGACTTGGAACTTGCTGAAGCATTGGATCAACATGACAGTCAAGTAACTAGTAATTTAAGAAGGCTGGCAGCCTCTATTCTTCCATCAAATCACTAATACAAATTTTTCAGACAAATACTTTGGTTTCTTAAAGCCCAACTGAAATCTCCCACCTTGTTGCTCTTTATAGACTTGTGCCATGTTATGATTTTAGTTCATTTGTGCTTGAAAATGCCTTGAAATACCTTTTTCTCTCAATGCAAATACACTTCCTGCCCTTTCACTCCAGAGCTGAATGCTGTCATAGCTGAGTGAAGCCCATACCCTCATCATAAGTATCCAGACATAGACTTGTAACGGTGAAGAAGAGAGGAGGTGTGTCTGACCAGGTCTGTTAGATTACTCACAGGGTTATTCGCTAAAAAGTGAAGAGTTTGGAGAAGACAGGAGAAGTGAACAATCTAGGACAACATAGCTGACCTGGAAAGTGAGCTGAATTGGAGAATGTTTCCAGTTCAGCTAAGATGTCCCAGATTGTTCACTTCTCCTGCCTTCTCCACACTCTTCACCCTTTTGTGAATAACCCTGTGAGTGTTCTGGAGATCATGGTCAAGCTCTGGTGCAGAATAGACTGCAGTTATATTTAGACACACTGTACAGCTGTGACTGAATACTTATCTCTGTAATTTGGGTTGGGCTTTAATGTTAGTTTGTTAAGCCTATAGCACAGCACAGCTCCTAATGATTCCTATGCACTTGATTTATTAAACATGTTATTGTATGCACCACTTCAGAGTAAGAAATATGCACCTAAAACACATCTTTGGCATTGTTCAATTCATGGCTCAACAATGTTTTTCAAGCACTTTTACCCATGTTGGGGGCACTCAGAAAAAAAACAAAAAACACTGAGGACATCGATCTCAATGCCTCACCAGTGACGAGCAAGTGAGGGACAGGGAGCCTCCTCCCTGTCTTCTACCTTCCTCCACACATAGCTCAGTGAAACCGCACGTCACTGGACAGGTAAAACATTATTCTGCAGCTATCACCAGCTAAGGTAAAAAGTAACAATAACTAACCTGAATGGAATATAGTAAGAGGCATGATGTCAGTGTTCCTTTATAGTCAGCCAGTTTGAAAAAAGCCAGAATAACAGCTGTAAATGAAGACAAAGGGAAAATGAAACATACACATATGTCTTAATAATTACTGCTCCAACTACGACTCCTATAAACATGTACGTATATCATATTTGTATAACTACACATGACTAAGAAGCCTGGAGTGCATATTCTACATCCAAAACTTGTTCTTTATTTAAAGGGATATTCCATTATGATTTTGTTTTGGAAGATGATGGTGGATTTTGTGTTCCTCAGGGATTCAAGAAGGATCTTCTCACCTGAGCTCCCCACTCCTTACAGCCTTTACATTGGAATCCCATTTTCCACATTAATTTCCGCAGTTAGATTACAGAAGAGGCCCCAGTGAGACCGCATTGGTAAATGGCTGCAGACAGCTGCTGGAATCCTCAACAGGACATATACTTCAGCCCAACAAACTCCACCCTCATTAAAATATTAATTTAAGAGAGAATGAAGCTTCACATGCAGGGCTTTTAGTTCAGTTTAGTATGAAAGAAATCTTAATATTTAAAATGATAACATAAAAATAAAAGTATAAATCCAAAGCTTTTCTTTATAGTAAGTATAGTTTGCATCCTAATGACTAGATGAGTGTGAACTCCAGTGTTCTACCCATTGCAGCAAAAAGGCATTGGTCTATCAAAGTTGAGTGAGTTAAATGGTAAACAGCAATACCAATATAAGTTATTAGGTTGAATTTACACAGTGGTTCTTCCGCATTTGTGGTACTAAGTCTGGTCAAATCAAAGGTAACTGTCCCATATCATAAGGTTCTTTATGGTAATATATGCAGACAATGTTCATTTCCACAAGCAATCAATGTCTGTTGAGGTTAGTTGTAAGTGCCACTTTGTAATACAACCTAACAGAGGACTGAACTCCCTGGGCTCTCTTCACCTAGCTTCTAAAGGAGGTTCATTCTTAGTGTGCCACCAATAGTGACACCTGTGGGGTATGCCAACCCCATGAAACATTTGAACCCTATTATTTACAAGCTACTCAGTTAAGACTTGTGTTAATTCCATAAGGTAAAACTACATATGATTTCACATTTAGAACCCTATTAATCTTAATATGCATTCTGGATTTTATCATACAAAATTATTTTAATTAATGACTCAGGGGGTTTATTTCCCTGAACACAAACAAAACAAATGTACATTTCCAATGAAGGATTTGAAAACATTTTGGAGAAGAACAGACTTGAAAAAAACCTAAAGGAGATGTAAAAACAGAATGAATTTCTAAAAACTTACTGATATGTACTGAGGGTGATAAGAGCTGGGCTGTTGTGTAGTCCCAAATGTCTACTCTTCAACTGTGTTTAACATACAATGTCCAGAAAACATTCCAATATTGCTTTCTTATAGGGCTGCAAAAACTAATCAACTAAATCGATAATAATCGATGATGAGAATAGTTGGCAACTATTCTCATCATCGATTAGTTGGTTTGGGATCGTTAGCTGCAGCCCTACTTTCCTAAGTGAGTCCATTAGTTTGGTAAGCAGCCTTTAGATAAAGGAGTACTGTTTATTCACTTAAAAAAGAAGAAATATTCTCATTTCATTCTTGGCAAACATCCTTGCTATATGAAGAATATGATAATTGGCTATAAAAGTCTACAGTTCAGAGGCTCACCTGGCAAGCAGCAGAGAAAGAAGATGATAGGGAACAGCAGAAGGCTCCAGCTCATTACTTTGATGACTGCCCACTGTTGGTCTTGGATGACACCTGCAGTTGCAAGATGTCTTTGGACAATCATATTTGAATAAACTACAATCACCTAGAAATAGACACAGTGCAAGCTTAGACTTTGTGTGCATGAAGTCAGTAAAAGAAACATTCGAATGAAAAACTGCGGGTCACTTTGCTGCATGAACCAATAAATCGGCCTTTAATAATTCATATGTATTTGCCTTTTAGTCTTTCTCTATTGGAAACTATTAAACAACCATTAACAATTAAAATATCTAAATATCTTATGGGCACCTTTAGCTCAGGACACAGAAATATACACACTATGGCCTCCATAATACCAACATACACAAGGAAATGGGATGTATTTTTATTGTTTACTGTGTGGATGAATGTCTATGTCCTTCATGGGGACGTATGCAGTATATTCTGTACAAAAAAAATTAAAAAGTGCAACTATTAACATGGCTGTTCATAATTCCTCACCAGTTGTCTGAACCAGGAATCTCTACAACTGATATAACTAAGTAGATAACTGTCTGTCAGTCATTGAGCGCTCTTCTATATGACAATTAAGAGCTCAGTGTGCTAAATTTAAAACAATGAATTCTACCCATCTGCCACCACTGACAAAGGTTAATATAACATTTATCAAACCTGGATTAGACATGATCTGGTGCTGCTGGGCATAGTAACCAATCAGCTCTCTCTTTAATTTGTTCAGTTAAGCTTTGAAGATGAGAGAGAAGCTGATTGGTTACCATGCACAGCAGCTCCAGACTATGACTGATCAAGTTTCAATAAATTCCCCCCATAATATTTTGTAACCATGCCCCTTTAAATTAAACTGGCAGACAGTACTGTGATGCTCCATTTGGCATTACATACCAGAATGAGGATGACTGTAAGGCAGAAGGTAGTCAGGAAGACAGCTGTGCTATAGAAATGTAAGTGTGTACAAGCAATGTCAAGCCTTCCGAGGTCTGCTGTAATCTGGGATCCAACATTCAACACCAAGCAGCTGTCAAGAACGTTAGAACAAGTCAGTCATACACAGGTACTTCTTACTAGTAACAATACAGACTTCATTACTCTCTATATCTTCAAAGTAAAATGTCACCCAAGGTCTGTTTATAAAGGGTCGAATGTTAGTGTCACCAAAGACTATTCATACATTTTGCCGGTGAATCAATATTTAGAAGGCAGTTTGGTAGCAACATTTTTTCACAGCTTTCACTTGTTCCAAGAAATGCTGGTTCCATGTGAACAGCTGATGCTTTCCTAGACTACCAGGGTTATTGACAAAAGGGTGAAGAGTTTGGAGAAGGAAGGAGAAGTGACAAATCTAGGACAACATAGCTGATTTGGAAAAATTCTGCAATTCAGCTCACTTTCCAGTTCAGCTATGTTGTCCTAGATTGTTCACTTCTCCTGTCTTCTCCAAACTCTTCACCCTTTTGTGAATAACCCTGTATATATAAAACAAAAAATAAAAATGTGGGCTATACATGCACTTAGGTCTAAACCATAACAACTGCATGTTTCTTTTTTCATAAACTACTTGTTTTACTGTACTCTTCTGCATATCAGTTCTGCTGATCTCCTCCAGCCCTTTTCAGCCAGTTCCTGTCTACATGTATGCACTAAAGCGTCTTTTGCACATCTTTGCTCTTGCACTTGCTATGCAATGTATTTTGGCAGGCCACATGCAATCTTAATTAAAGGGACCTATGTGACAACATGGCAATACACAATTGGGAAAGAGTTGTCACCTCATAACAGGAAGTGCTTGAATAAGGACATTTATTAAGGATCCCCAGATAATAACTTAATGAAATCTGCAGATATAAAAGATTGTGATTTTCAAGGAATGCCCTTCTATATACACTGTGTGGCCAGATTATTATGACCACCCCATCAGTACTTCGTTGGGCCACGAGATGACTTTGTTGGGCCGCCTCGTGACTCCCCGAGATGTTGAAAGGTGATGCGAGGAATCTGACACTGCACTGTTGCCCTTCTGTTGTCTTGCACCAGTGTTGCCACTCTCCGTTCTGCCCTAACATTGACTAGTCGCTGACGGCCACACTTCGCACGTTCAGACCCAGATTTTCGGCTGACAGTCCAGTCTTTAAACACTTTAACAACAGCTGCTCTTGAACATTTAACAAATTCTGCTGTTTTGCCGATACTCGCTCCATGGCTTGAGCGCCAACAATCATCCCACGTTCAAAGGCTGTTAAATTGCGTTGTTTACCCGCAATCACTTCTACTGTTGTGGTAAACAACCTGCTTCCCTATTTATAATGGTCTGGCCTTCTAGCAACTTCAGCGCGAAATTATAGCTAATTTGCCTACAAACGTCATGTGGTCATAATAAACTGGCCACTCAGTGTATAAGGGGTATCCCTTATGGTAGTCTAGGCTACAAGTATTATTCACATTGAGCACATATACATATTGTATTTACCTGTCACTGATGTTCATATAGCATTGCTCGGAGTTTCCAATGTACAGGACAGGAATAGTGAATATGACGGGAACAACACTGAAACAAATGGTGCTTTCTTATTAAAGAGGTAGTACAGACAGATATATTTACACAAAGGTACCTGATTTACTAAAGTGAAGTGAGGTAAGGTAAGCCTGTGTGAACTTTAAACATCCAGATCCATGCTTAATTAGTGCTTGGAGATGACATATCATACACAGATAAATGAATCACCGCCTAAGTATACTAGTAAGGCTCCATTCACACTTAGGCTTAAAAGGTTATTATACCCTCGGGTGTTTTGGCATATATCTACGGCTAGCAAGCAGTAGATATATGCAAAAAGTGTATTTAAAAAAAACTGCTTTAAAAGAGGTTAATACTTACCTGTGTCTTCCCCGCGCGCTCCCGTCCGAAAATGTGAAAGTTCTCAGGCGGCTGCAAAGCATCTTGGGGCGGGCGCATGCGCAGTTCACATTTTCGGCCGGGAGACGAGGAGAGACACAAGGTAAGTCTATGGACGCGTGCACCCGCATGCAGACACCATGGGACAGGAAGTGCCAGCAAGGACAGAGGAGTCAGCACTGGATCGGAGACCCGCAGCAGCGCTGGAGGGATAGATGAAAACGACAGGAAAGACGATTAGATTAAGAAACATCATTTAAGGTAAGTGCTTTAATTAACATGGGGCGGGGGGGGGG